TCTTTAATTAGCAATTATTCAGAAAACGTAATCTTTAATTAGCAAATATAACGAGATATATGAAGTTTTGAAAATTATTTAATTTGGACGGTGGAAGAGAGCACACGAGACAAAAGAAAGAATGATTAAAACCTAACTTTACAAGAGTTCACATTTGAATTCTCCATTAATTGTATAGTCAATTGTCATAATTAAGCATATCTATCCTGCTTCTGGTATGAAGTTCAATGCACCAATTTCAAGCAACAAACAAGCCCAACTTCACAACATATTTTTGCCTAATCGCATTAACAGAAGTTAAACTCGACAACTCAAAAAAAAAAAGCTAAATTATAGTTCGAAAAATATCATTGGATCAAGAAAGTGATGAAAGAAGCTTCCTTGCAAGTTACAAAGCTTTTTCTTTTTCTGATTCTTTGACTCCGACGGAACAATATTACAGACCGACTTTCACAAGAATAATTAAATTATTTGATTATATCAATTTCCAACCATAGAAAAACAATTGAATTAAGACATAGCCACACATTGAAATTCATGCGCAAAAACAAAAAGAACAAACAAAAACAAAAAGAAAAAAACAAGTTTATTAATTGAGTTGGGGTATGCTAATCTGGTCTGCGATGCTATCATATTTTTTTGACGGTGGGATGCGTTAGAGAGTACGTAACCAACGTCGGTGGATGGATATGTATCGATCTAACGGTGTATGGAGTTAAAAAAATATGATTCGCATCTAAAATATATAATAAATCCAAAAAAAAAAAAAAAATAATGAAAAAACGAGTTAAAAAAATAAATGATTCGCATCTAATATAATAAATAAATCCAAAAAAAAAAAAAAAGAAAAAAAGAAAAAGGTACGTATTCACCGTAGTACCTCGGTGATAATGATATTATTTTTAAAAAAAAAAAAAAAAAAGAAAGAAAAAGGTACGTATTCACCGTAGTACTCGGTGATAATGATATTAATTTTTTTTTTTTTAATAATACACGGTAACTAAAAATTTCTAAGACAAGCAATCGGGGAATTGTTGACTTGTAACTAAAGATTTTCTTGATTAGTTATTGTTTTTTCCTCAATAATTAATTTGTTTTTCTTGTCTTGATCGATAGAGAGTACCGGTCATAGTTCATACAGTATGAAGTAAATAATATATATGTTTAATGTTATATTTGAATGTTCCGACATGGTTCAATTTTTATATAATTTGGTCTTAATAGAATATTAAATATTCTAAGAACCTAATGGTAAAAAGCTAAAAGGGTACTTCCTTAAATTAAAGATATTTAGGTATAACATGTATTTTTCCATTATTATTGGAGTACAAATTTTTGTGACCGTAGTACTCTTTCCCTGCTTGATTTATATTTAGCTATACACAGTAAGCAATTTAGATGTACGTTATTTCTTTTTCGCGATGAAGACTAACATCATGATACGTAGAGTTTTAAATCATTCCATAAAAATGTTATTACGTTTGAATTTTACCATCATCGTGAAGAAAACACCAGGTACCAGAATTTGTGGTTAACCATCATCGTTGTGAATTTTATTTATATTATAGTTGCAAGTAGCAGAGTATCCATATTAGTCAATACGAGCAGAGAAATGAATATTCTTTTTATTATTTTTTTTTTCCCAAAACATCAGGTGGTCTGCCCATGCAACAGCTGAAAGTGAGATGATGATGATGATATACTATCCGTCCACGAACATAAATCGTTAAAAATTTTTAATACAATAAGTGAGAAAGTAGGTCTTTTAAAATTATAATAAAATATTAATTAATTAAACTAAATTGTTCTTTTATCTTGATTTTTTTTGAAGAAAATTATAGAGATAATTAAATATTTAAAGATAAAATGTTAAAAAAATAATTATATTACTTTTAACATTGTTAATATAATTTGTATTTATAGACAAAAACAATTATTTTAAAATTAATTGTATTTATGAATATATATACTATTTGCATTCCATAATATTGTCATATTTAAAAAAATAGTTTATTCCAAAATACTTATCACATTTGTGGTTTCATGGAGTAATCAATCTTTTTTTTCATGTTACCCCTTTATATGCGGCCAATAATTATTACTTCAATTCACTAGTTTTGTTAGAGAATTAGTATTAAATTAGCCTAATATAATCAATTTACTTAATAATTTATTATAATGTAGATAATTTAATAATCTTCTTAATGACCGTTGAAATTTCAAATTTGATAAACATTATCGAGGAAGAATATATGTTATCAGTTATACTGTCCCACTTCGATAGCTACCGACCACGATAAATTGGAAATAAATAATGATTGTGAAAAATAATTAATCATCACTTTGCATGGAATAAGCTTGGAAAATTTGGCGAGTCGGTGGAATTAACATCAATCATTGCTTTCTTAGAAGAAAAGAGAAAAGAAAAAAAACAAACCGAAATCCTTTTATTTACCATTTGTCATGCTAAAAAACATACCCTAACGGCCTAACTTCACATCCACGTTGATTTTCTTGATGCATGATATTTGACAACCACAACCAATCAATTCAAATATATTGGAAAATAATACTTACACTGCAAAAAGTTTATTATCTATAAAAAATTGAAACAAAAGAAAGTCGGTGGAAATGCCAAAAAAAAAAAAAAACAGCTATAAAAAATTGAAAACAAAAGAAAGTCGGTGGAAAATGGCCAAAAGTGGAAATTAAAAAAAAAAAAAAAAACAGTAACAATAACAATCATAAATTTTGGTTTTCCAAAAAATAAATAACAATAATAAATTTATAACTGATTAATAATTATATAAATTGTATTTCTTACAAACTTTATTTATAAAATTAAGATTTTAAACTTGAAAATTTACAGCATTAAGAACTTTAAATTAATTGGAGAGTAGAGTTACGACGTGGGGGCGAATAAAAATAAAAAAAGAATAATTAAATGAATTTGTAAGTATGTTTCCAAAGTATTGTCTTTGCTTTGCTATCGTAGTGAAGAGTGAAGACTAGACTTTTTGGACAAACCTACGAAAAAGCTAAGTGGAACTCTTGCAACCCCACTGTCTCTCTGACCTGCAAAAGGTGTAACTGTCATTGCCAATTAAACACCTTTTCTTATAAAGTTGTGGCCAATATTGTTTCTCCGGCAAAATAAGAATAATTCATTTCTAAATAAATAAAAATAAAAATAAAACACCCAATAGAAAAGAGAAGGAGAGTTTCCCCTATCATTGTCTATGTTGTCGTATCACTCATATTCTGTTAGTTGGCACTGTGTGGCTTGTGGAGAAGAATTCAGAGAAATGGAAAAAAAAAAAAAATTAAGAAAATAAAAAATAGATTATTGGTTAATTTGTTTTGGTGAATGAAAGTTTCATATATACTTTTCCTAGCAATGATTAATTTGTTACCCAAATGTGTAATGTAGTTGATGTGTATCTTTTGAATTAAATAAGATAATGATATTTTTATTGTATCTTTAAAGAAAAGGAATAAACTCATATTTTGACAAATCACAATTTAGCTATTCGTTTGCCACTTTGATTGGCTTGCAAATTAAAAAAAAAAAAAAAAAAACCACTTTGAATTGGCTTGGCACAATTAAAAAAAAAAAAAAAAAAAAGAAAAAAAGAAAAGAAAGATTAAACAAGAAAATTCTACAGGAAAACGTGTATTAACAATAATATTTTTGTCTTATTTGTTATGTTTTCAATCTGTTCCACTTTTTGGGGCACGATTTTTTTAATTATAATATTTACTGTTTCAATTTTAACACTTGTAATATCTCTTGATAAAAAAAAAAAAAAAAAAAAAAGAAAAAAAGAAAAAAGATTAACAAGAAAATTCTACAGGAAAACGTGTATTAACAAATATATTTTTGTCTTATTTGTTATGTTCAACTGTTCACTTTTTGGGGCAGATTTTTTTAATTATAATATTTACTGTTTTCATTATAATCACTTGTAATATCTCTTGATAAAAATTTTAATTATTAATCAATAAAAATAAATATTCTTTTAATATGAAAAGTTTATATTTTTATTAATTTAGTGTACGAGTACGGGGAGAATGAGATCACAAACGGGGATTAAGAAAGTCTAGCTCACAATAACCGTTTTGCATTTGGTATTTACTGCAAAAACACAGGGATGAAAAGCTAAATAAAACGCCTTGTCTCTTAAACGCAGTTTGCTTGGTGGGCGTCTATAACGCAGTTAATACCAATTAAATTCCACAGGTGGGTGACGTAACAAGATCACAACTGAGTGATGCAATAAGTTCTCGATGGGATCGCCCCTTTTATGGCTACCTCAGTGACTCAGTCGACTCTTAAAAGGCATTTGATATCTTTGACCGTGTTGGTTGATTTTATCTTTGAAGAAGCTCTAAAAAACATTTCACAGAATTAATTAATCTAATTATCCATAATAAATATAAATGTAAATGTTCTTCATTTTTATTAATTTTGGTTCCATTTTGTTGAATGCTATCAAAATTTTTGCAGACAGTAATTCTGAATGTATTAATCAAGTCGATGTCGAAAGAAGAAGGGAATAAAAAAAGCAAAAACAAAATTTCCCAATATGTGAAAGTGAAAATAGCAACTGAAAGTGATAACGTGGAAATCGGCAAACATTATTAGCCGTATCCTTAAGAACAACGACTGTAATAAACGTCCCAAACGGGCATCAGCCTAATTCTTGGCACTTGGAATGTTTCAGAGGGACCACACTCATTTTTAATGCCAGGATTAGAATTATTTAAACCAAGTTTTTAGGTCTACCTATTCATCAAAATAATTAAATATTTGAGATTTTTTTAAAATTATTTTTATTTTATTTTATTCGCTCTAGATAGTTAGAAATATTGTCATTGATAGATTTATATAGATCGGTTTAAATAAGTCAATCTTTTAATTCTCATCATTTATTTATCGTTTCTAATTTAAAAAAAAAAAAGGAAAATAAAGGGACGTAAAAGTGATAGATATTTTAACATAAGACAAGAGAGAAACTGTAAAAATTTTATTATCTACAGCCAGCAGTATTTAATTAAACATATATGTATATAAAAAAAAGGACTCATCACAACAGAAACCAGCTGAGCTCGAGTTCTAACTACTGTCCAAAAGCTACAAGCTGGTTCTTTAAAGAGCTATTATAAATAACTCTAAAAACAAAACCTAACAAAAACAAAAGGTTGTTAGGGTTTTCAATATCCAGGAGATTCCGGGGACATAAAGCCATCATCCCTCAGGTAAAAATCTCCTACTTGGGTAATTTTCACACATATAAAAAAATTACTAACAGTAATAAAACCTCCTTTGCAGCAGCAAATAACAAACCAAAACTATGCTTGGTTAACCAAGTCGCTGGAGTTTATATATGTCCCATGAAACCCATATGGCACTCTTGATGGCAGTTTGATTGAAGCTTCTAACTGTAAATTAATGGCATTTACTATTTGAAGCTCTGATTTGCATTTCTTCTCATCATGAACAAAAGCCAGAATGTACCCATCATCTTCATTTTCGCTATTTGGGTCTCTTGGCAAAAAAAATGGCTCACCACCATATTTTTTATCGCCGTAAATATGTTTTTTTACCTCACCAGTAAAAAGATCCACTTTCGCGAAACCGGAAACTTTAGGCCATGGCTCAGCAATGGCTAAATAAGCGTATTGACTCTTTCTTCCTAAGCGGTTCCGGTTAACCATTCCGGCCTCTAAATTTACTTGGTTTGATTCTTGAATTATAGGGCGGCGCGTGGACTTACCCGTCTTTAAATTCAGTCTGATTTCCGACAATACGCTTTTTAAACTTTCATCACATTCGTTGAAAATTGAGTCCGGTGGAGTCATGCAAGATCCGATCACCACAATTTCATCGGATTCCGGCTCTTCCCATGCATTCCACAAATGGAAGCAAAACGTCTCCGGCGATTCAACCCAAATAATATTGTCAGCATCAGTAGCATTTTTTGCAAGAATTCCAAACCGAGATTTCTTGTCTTTGTCGTAAACTACGGGAGAGCCACCTCTTATCATTTCTTGAAGCTTGAAAACGACTTGCTGATCGGGGATCACCACGAAATTTTCCGTGATAGCGAAATCATGCATCATTGTTGGCACTGAAAGAGGAATATTAACGTCCGGTGATTTTTTGCCGTCAGGAGAAAATTTGAAATATTTCAGATACGGCTTCTGAACGACGTCGTAGCTAAGAGCAAATAACTCTTTTGAAACTGGATCAATTTTGGGATGAGCAATCATTGCATTTTTTAATTGGCCATTAAAATCGTGTCGCCCAACAGTTTCAAGATCGCCACTGTTAGTGATACGTACTTGATAAGGAACGTCATCTTCTGACATGGCAAGAAGCCTGGCATTGAAGTAGACAAGACCGGCGTTGGCTACTCCAGTGCCTTTTGTATGATCAACGAGCCCACATAATCCTCTTGCGTAAAAAAGGAGCAATCTTGCAATACCAGAATGGCCATGTAACTCACCAATTGCTTTAGGAAACACTGGCCTGCCCAATTCTCTCTCTTGTTTCAATCTCTCTGTTTCAGTAAAACGACAAGCGTAGCTTGCATTGCCGTTTTTGATACTGACAGCATGAACCATGCCGTCTCCGTCAAACAAGTGATGGCCGGCGATTGGCTCAAAAAGTGGATTAGCACCGTTTCGAACATAAACACCATTTATACAATCAGGGATAGTTCCGGCCACCGGAAGAGACTGCCGGACGGGCTGTTCAGGTACCGGAGCGTAATTTCCGGAGATTTGGACACGAGGATCAGCAGTTTTAGGGAGCTGATGTTGGCGTTCCTTAGATACCAACGCGCCTTCCGCCACATCTAAAGCTATGGCAGCTGCTTTTTGAAGAAGGTTCCAGTGCGGTGGTTGACGGTGGTGGGTTTTGCGTTTCACGGTGATAAAAGAGTCATCTTTAGGAATTACATGTTCCGGGAGATGAAGAACAGAAGGAGAGTTTAAAGCGCAGTGAATTTTGTTCGTTTTACTACTTTTGGGCTTACTCTTAGTAAAAGAAATAGAGCCCAAATCAACAAGTGAATAAGAGGGAGAGGAGGGAAAAGGGTGAGAAAGTTGGGTTTTAGCCCAAATAGTTGAATTACAAGCAGCCATGGAGTAGTAGTTTAAAAGGGGTTCTTTCGTTTTTTCTCTTTAGATTGAGAGGAAGAGAAGAGAAAAGAAGAGTCCCTGTTGAACCTTTGGTGAAGTTTAGTTGAAAGAAAGAAAGTGAGAGGGAGAAGTGTTTTTGGAGAGAAAGGGAAAGAAAATGGGTATAAATAAGAGTTGGGGAAGGGAAGTCCAAGAATGGTCGTGGAGGTCCACCTCAGACATGTAAGGGAAGACCACGTGGTGTATTTTTAGAAAGGCACTTGGGGATTGACGTTGCATTATATTACAAAAAAACGTTCAAAAAAATTTTTATTTTTTTTTAAAAGAAAGAAAAAAAAAGAAAAATGGTAATGACACGGTCACACGAACCCTACGTTAAAAAAGAAATAAAAGACAGTGGAAATTGCTTATGACACAAACCATAGCTTAGAGTGAAAAAAAGAATGTACGGTTGGGGAAGATAATTGGAGGTGAGAGTGAGATGGGTTCTTCATCTTCTAGTGTTCTAGTGTTGCTAAATATTTATTATATATTGGGACCAATAATAGTTGTATAGTCCATAGAATGGAAATTCTACATTTCTACTATTCTCAATCAACATCTATGAGTGTCCCCATTTCTAAAACCCAGTTTAATTTATTTTTATTAATTAATATTAATATTAATGTACTCTCATTTTTGTTTTCTGTTGGTTAATTAACCACCTTATTATTCATATGATTGTAACTACCATATTTTTGTCTCTAACGACAAATACCACTTTCAAAGCCACTTCACAATTTTTGGGACAAAATCGAAAATTAAATTTTTATTTTTTTTGGTTTTTGCTGAATAATTTTGTTGTTCCAGGCTATTATTCTTAATGCTGGGGATTCCATTAAAGATGATTAAATTGTTATCTTCTTAATGTTTCTTTACTGAGATGCTCTTATATTTTATGGATTTATTTTTAATAGAACCATAATGGTTCAATTTCAAGGACTTATTCTAGTATTAGGATTTCAAAAGATCAAAAGATTAAAAAAAACTAAACTAATTAATTATAAAATTATTGAATATAGGAATTATTTTGTTAATTCAGTCAGTATTAATACAAGGATATACCATCTTATTGAAGACTTTGTTTGGAAAGGAAAAAAAAAAAAAAAGATATTGAGGAAAGAAAATACTAAATCCTATTTTATATTAAACAATACAATTTTCTTAATTAATTTATTAGTATTTTTTTTTCTCTAATTTACAAGGATTCTAATTTTATGAGCTTGAAGGAGAATGAGAGAAGATCCTTCTTATTGATATTTTTCTTAGATATTTTTTTCTATACAAAAAAAAAAAAAAAAAAAAAAGTTTTCCTTAATTAATTTAATTAGTATTTTTTTTTCTCTAATTTACAAGGATTCTAATTTATGAGCTTTGAAGGAGAAAATGAGAGAAGAATTCCTTCTTATTGAGTATTTTTTCTTATTTTAGATATTTTTTTCTATACAAAAAAAAAAAAAAAAAAATCCTCCCTTTCCAAAATAAAACGATAACATTAATTTATTAATTCCAAAAAAAAAAAAAAAAAAAAAATCCTCCTTTCCAAATAAAACATAACATTAATTTATTATTCCAAAGTTATAAATACATATTTTGAATCAATCGAGTAATAGTTTACGTAATTACTTTAATTGTTGAAATTTTAAGCCAAAAAATATAATTCGTGTAAGATTTTGACATGAAAATTAAAAAAATTAATTCTTCTAATAGTATTCTCCTAAGTAACTAAACCAATACTTTCTCACATCATTACTCTTATCATATATAGTTATTATATTTAATACAAATAATGTTAAAATTTGAAAAAATCATTTATTACTCCTCAAAATATTCAAAACGTATTATATTTATAAACAAAACAAACACTCTAAATAAGAGCGGAGCTACATGTAATTGAAGAATAAACGATATTTTTTCACTTGGCTTGAACTTTGAACAAATAAAAAACTTTACGTTATGTTAAAAAATTTGCTCCCTTCAATTATGTGTCGAGGAATTTGCCACTCTTCTATTTAATTTCTAGCTTGGCTTTTATTAATTTACAAGAAGTATTAAAAGAAAAATTAATTAGTTATACCATTTTTATCAAATAACAATAAATATCGGGCACCCATTTGTTGGACCATCAATATCTAGTGCACTTATCACTTATCCAAATCATAATAAATACTATCACGAATATTTCTGGCGACATCATATGAAAATCACACTCCTATTTATACTCTAGTAGAAGAAAAAATTAGTATTTATACAAAATACATACACACGTGGCAGCTTATAGAGGTCAGGTCCCCACCATTGCGGGATGTATAAATGGTAGAAGAAAAGAAACGGATTGGATTGGGCAATTGAACAGTATAGGGTCGAAAAATGAAAAGAAAGAAAGAAAGAAGACAGCCAGAATGGCCATAATGGGAGGATGGTAATGGTGCACCAGTTTTGGATTTTAGTAAAGTCTATATGTTAGGGCATCTGGCTGCTGCGGTCCTATATAAACTACCCTATCGAAGGACACTGTCGAGGGCCATCGGAAAAGGAAGCCTGAAAAAGATAGCTAATTAATCTACCCATAACCCCTTTCTCTTCAACCTTCTTTCGAGTCCCCTCCCCAATGCTAAAAAAGAAAAAACACAGTTTATTTATTAATATCTCAATTTAATTAAACTTATTTTAAGAACCGCTTTTGTAAATATCTTACTCCTCACTTGGCAGGCAAAACGGAAGTTAGGTATCAAAAATTATAAACAACAATGGCATTATCTGTTAACATTGTCATTTTTTGATAGCAAATCTCCAATATTCTGATTTTATTTTAATTTTTATATACATACCTTTCTTTCTGGAGTTGAAATTAATAAGATGGGGAGCTATCAGAATCCATCCAATCAACGACTTACAGACACCTTCTGCTTTTGTGTTTTATATTACTAATTATAATATTTATTAGTAATGTATAGAGAAAAAGAATGGTGTCCCTAATGTCATGGATGACTCTAAAACAAACAGCAAGTGTGAATTATATGTTAATTATGATTATTAATTATTTAATTGGAACAGAGGTGCTCTTTTTGACGTACGCTTAGAATAGATATCCACATGTCAATTATTAATTACTTGGAGAAATTAATAAAAATTAATTATATGATTTGTGGTGTTGTTTCTTCGGCGCCGATGGATAATGTGATCACATGGAACCCAACTTATTCTCTAGTGCACATCTTCTTTTGCTTAATGCAGTTTTTTTTTTTTTTACACAATAATTTTTTATGTTTATTTATTTTTGTAATCTTGTCTGTGCTTTTAACAATCATTTATTTATAAATCCTGATGATAAACTTGTTGGATCCGAACTTCTTCATTTTGTTTTTTATATCAAACCCTTTTTTTTTTTCCTTTTAGCATGTAGCCTGTGGCAAATTGATATAAATTGATATAAAATCGATTAAGTGTCGTTCATTATTTAGATATATATGCATATTGTAAGAAATAGAAGAGAGTTCTGGTTTATTTCTTAATATATTATTTATTTTGATTAATTTAGTATTTTTTATTTTAACTAAGCTTCTAATTAATTAATGAAGTGGTATTAAATTCTCTATATATTTTCTAACCCCACAATTCTTCTATTAATTTAGCATTCCATAAATAAATGAATTGGAAATTGGTCACTTATCTATTATTGGCACCAAATATATTAAGATGGCAGTATGGCCTTTTCTCCATTTACGTCAACCTTTTCACCATAATATGTCCTAAAAGTAGTTCCACTCCATGTTATTTCATGCAAGTTGCTAAGCTATCTTCCATTCTTCCTGCTCCTGCACAGTGTAATAGACGCATTATTCCCAACCAAATGCTCACATATCTCAACTTCAAGTCACTTCCTAAGGACTGGGGTCAATCTCTCAACCACCTTTATTTGTATCTTTCAGGCCACAATAATGTATAACACTGTCGTATTAAGTGCCATCCGTCCATTTTTACATTGCAAATAGAACTTGTCAGTCTCCAATTCGGTCAAAACGTTTCCAACTTCCATTATCTGTTTCCAAAAAGCTGTAAAAATCGACCCCTCCCTCTGCCCTCTTCTCCCTCTCTGTACATGTGCTCGCTTTCTTTCTTTCTCGATATAGCTAAAGAAATTACAACATCTGCAATCCCACTTGCACATGAGATAAATTTCATTGGCCAATTTGGCACTCTCACATGCTAATCGGATTGACTTGACAAAGACACTACAACCAGAGTGGGTTCATCATCTGGGGCCATACATGTAATCCTAATGTTAATTGAAGTGACACTTTCTTCCAATAATGGTTTCGTTGTATATATAATTACACCTTCAACAGAAATTAGGGTTTTCTCAGGGATGGTAATTAATTACCATAGGAATCTTGTAATTCTTGTTGTTAGTATTTTATTTTTTTTTAATTAATGGTTCGATTATGGTAACCACTACCCTTAATAATTAATGTCTTATTATATATACATGAGCTACAATAGTGGATCATTCCCATAATTAATGAAAGATAACTAGGATAAATACTTAATTATATGTTCATGACTGGTGATCCAAGGAGAAGATCACATGGTTAGCACTCAAAGATTATATATCAGACAACATATATAATAATGGCCATTGGCCAATGATCTTAATTAATCTGAGGATTCCTTATTATATGGAGTATTTATTTTAATTTAGTAATCATTACCTTATAAGAATCAAATAATTAAGTTTGTTTTATCTAATCTGATGAAGAATTATTCATGCTGATTACAAAAGTTAACTGAACATGCTCTTTCGATTTGAATAATTTCTTGTAAAGAGAAATTGGTTTTCATTACCAGTTTGCACATGTAAGGTTAGTTAAGGTTAATCATTTGCTATTAATTTCATCATTATTATAAAACGTTTGATATCTTTTTTTAATTAGCTTAGCAATACATATATTATGGGAGCATACGATTTCATCAGCATTTACACAAAAATTAGTAAAAGAATTTGTCATCGAAAGTACATATTTTATTTTTATTTTTTTTATTATGAATATTTTCATGTTCTATTTGAAAATGAAACTAGTTTTTCTTAATTTAGGACTATTTCTTCCAC